AGTGGAGTTACATAACATTATTCTTGAATTTAAGCTTCATCTCTTTGGTACCTGAAGTTCTTCTTAAAATTAATCCTAATTTAGCAAAAATTAACAAGAGAATGGAGGAACATAGTGATTCATTTACCTGAGGCAACACTTGGTCCTTACCTCTTCCTCCCACGTACAGGATCCAGACTCGGAAATACTTTTCCTGCACTCGATTTTAAAAGAATTTGAGGGTGATGGTGGTGTCTATGTTTTTTACTTTGGGGTTGGGGTGGTGGTGGAGTGTGGAGTAGGTAAAGAAGATGATGATATATATATATATATATATTTTTGGGATGTTCTGTAAGAAAATGATTTAGCAGAATGCAAAAGAAGAAGAAGAAGGAGCTCTGAATTTCTATATGCTTTTCATTCAATGAAAATTGGAATGTCATTACTGTTGGAAATTAAACACAGACTATTGCAAATACAATGCACAGCAATAATATAGTTCTAGCTCTGATAAACCAATGCCAGAAGTTCATAACATGCTCCAATAAACAATGATATTCAATCCCAGCAGAATGTAATTTCCTACCAGAATGTAATTTCCAATTACAACATAAAGAGATCATGACAATGAATATAAACAGAAATCTCAGAGTCTAGCATTTACAGATTGTACATGAACTGCAGGAACTGGTACTCAATATACATGAATTAACAGGTATATATATATGTACCATTGAAACCGAAAACAGAACATAAAAGGACCATATAACAGAAACTTAAAGCTGGACAGGAACTTCCCTTTTTACCGTCCAAGACCTCTAGTGTTCTTCTTCCCTTCTTGCTGGTCGAATAGCTTAGGCTCAGGAACAGCCTCCCATGCCATACAATCGCCGTCCAGAGAGAGGTAAGAACCAACCAAGATCTCCAACATTTTGACCAGGGTCATCGATCCAAACGATCTAGCGTAGCAGCCAAAATCAGCCCCTAAAATCTGACCTAAGCCCTTGAGAACGAACTAACACTTAGCCTCTATTTCAGGCCTAAGAATACACAGGTATATCTCCACCAATGGGCTAACCAAGGTCAATTTTATGGCACTAACAAAGAAGAAGAAGAATGGAGTCTATGGAGAGAAACAGGGCAGTCACCAAGAAGGAAGGAGAGTAAAATCGTGCCACATAAGAGAAGTCGAGAGTGAGAGAGTCTCACAAATGCCAAGCCCAAGTAAAATATCTAGTCTAGGATAAATCCCAACCATTGATTAAATCTAAGGACCAAAAGTAATCCTCAACAAGCACATGATCCAAGTGTCCTTAATGCTACCAATAAGTGATTCCCACTTAAGCAATAATAAGAATGGGTAATAAACCCGGCCCAACAAGGTGTTAAAGAGAACCACCAAAATAGGCCTAATAAGCCCACAAACTTCACCTTGATTCTCGTAACACACT